TTGTTCAAGAACACAGTAATACATTTTACTAGTTGACTCATTACCTAATTTTATAACCTATTCGTACACTTGAAAAAATGATAATCAGTTTAAGAAAATATCATCAACCATGCAACGTCTCTTCCTATCCAGACCTTGTAAGGAATACAGATAAATAACCTACCATGATAAAATTCAAGTGTTTTATTCCTATTCCACATTTGTAAAAATAAATTTTTATTTTACTCAATTTTGAAGTCTATTTCAGAAATGCATATTTAAATATTGTTAACAGTAAAAAATAAAAAATGCAACGCTACTCATAGCTATCATTATCCCTTCCCTTAGGCAAACCAGAATATTCCCAATCTTAAAGTGCAAAATCTATAGATTTCGCATGAATGTTAAACTATTACCTACAACATGACATCAATGAACCTATTGTATCATGATGTATTCTAAGCTATTGTGGTCATAAAGGACTTTCTTTAAACTTAACAAAAATAACCCATGTATAAAAGCTCTACAACATATGTATAATTTAGTTATTCAGAATAAAAAAAAAAACCCTAAATTTCTTAAATTTAATAAACCCTAAATAGAAGATTTCAACTAACATTAATAAAATGGAAGTGGGAATTGCACATACCTTATTAGATTGTCAAAGTTTGCTCAATACACAGTAATTATGCCTCGCCACTTCTTTGTAAAATAGTGCCTAAAGTGCTTCGATCACTGTATTTTCAATCAATTTTTTATTAATTTTTGTCTAAACCTTACCTCAAAAAACTTTTTTTATTCAGAATTGAAAGGTTTTTTTGGTTTGATTCTTGAATAAAAATATTTGATCACTTTCAAATGAGATAATTTGATTATAAGTAATAAAGTTTTATTTTTTGTTTCAAATGCTTCAAGAACAAGTCGTGGGTTTTGTAGCAATAAGGGTATTCTTGTCATTTTATGACTAACGGCGTCCAAAGAATACTAACGAAATATCACAGATACATAATTTAAGGTAATTAAGTATCACTTTTTAAACCTCAAAGGACAAACTCAAATCGCATTAAACTTCAAAGTATATTTATGTAATTTATCTTATTTTTTATTTCATTAGAACATACTAAACATATAACTATACCTTATACAATCCATAAAATTAACGTCAAAAAAATTTGGGTTGATAAAGCCTTGCTTCTTGTAATCTACCATTGTAATGGCAATGGACTTGAAACATTTAAATCCTTTAAAATTAACAACCAAGTTTTAATTATATATTCTAAAATAAACTCTAAATCATGTATGTTCGCAAATACTTATATCAATAACCAAAACCAACGTAAAAATGTCAATAATGTATGATTTATTGATAATTAAAATATTAAATTCTCAATTTTAATGTTCAAAATTCATTCTTTAATAACTTCAAATAAAAAAAAAAAAAAAAACTTGTAGTGACAATTCTAAGAAGGATAAGGACAGGCGACACCAATGTCAAGTGAGCACGTATCACCAAATTGGTATCTTACAAAGATCTTTGTTCAAATATGAACCAAGCAAAAGACAACCAAATCCTGCATTCTTCCTGTATCTAGAGACACATGAGTCCAAAATTTTCAGTGTAATATTTATGCTTTACCGGAGAAAACGAGTGATGTGATTGTGACCTAAATGTTTTTTCCAAGCTTTTTAAAAATCCATTTGAACTTTTGATCTTAATTACTAGTAAAGTTGGGGAAAATGAGAGTGAATCTAAGCATATTTATTGAAGTTGCAAATGGATAAGCACGAGAGCCACGTTTGTGTCAATTGTAAAGCTTGAATTTTTTTTCTCCAATAAAGACTGGGACAAATAATTAAAGTTTAGAGTTTGAATATAAAATATTTATAAATTTCAAAAATTTCAAAAAATTTATAAATTCACTTATAAATTGATTACTTATTCTAACTTTGAAAATAAGATTTTTTTTTTAAAGTAGTTATTAATATTTTCGTATATTGAAGGAAACCACTGAAATTACATTTAGGGTCAGGGTTGGCTACACTTATTAAATTTATAATCAGAGAATATTCAATACCATCAACTTTTTTGACTTTTTGTGTAAATTTTTTTCTTTTGAATAATATTGCATTCTAAAGCTTGTTACTATTCTGATTTTATTGCCATACTGTAGAGAATTGAAAAATTATTTCATACATAAAATTCATTGTTTAGTTTTATTAATTTATATAATCATTTTTAAAAAATAACATTTAATAAATTTATAATTTAAATCTCAATATTTATATTTTTTATTTTTGTAACCTTTTTTATACCAAAAAAATTATTTCATAAACCATCTGTGCAGTTTTTAGATTATATTTACAAAGTTAGAGTTACAACCATAATTATCAGAATCAGATTAGATCGTTAGTTCAATCAGATGAATCAATGAATCGATGTTGAAACCAATTTAGTTTTGTAATTAAATCAATTTTGTAATTAAACCACTTTAAACCATTATGAAAATGTAATTTACATAATAAATTAGTAAATCAAGTTACTTGTTTTTTAAAATTAAATTGATTCAATAACAACTAATAAGTTTAAATAAAATATGAAAAAAATAGCCCTTCAAGTATTCAAAATAATATAATAAAACTCTTATACTACTATTTCATCTAAATAAGCTCCAAATTCTTATTTTTTACAATCAAACCCTTGCATCCTTATATTAATGATATGTTGATATATTTTTGAGACATATGGATAATGATATTGTAAAAAAACTTATATATGTATAAAAATAAGCAATTTTTAAAAAAAGATGATCTAACAAAATATTTTATTAATTGATACTATAATTAAAAATAATTATAAAATTAATAAAAAATAAAATGTTAATAAAAATGATTAATTATTTGACCATGATAAAAAATAATTAATTAAAAAATGTCTATATGTAAATTAATAAAAAAAATTTACATTCATATAAAAAATATAAAAATGATTTTAATTTCCTTTTTACTAATTTTGATATAAATATAAATATTTCCTTTTTATTAATTTTATATATAGATGCTTATTTTTTGTTACATAAAGATTAATTATTATATATTAATAAATAATATTTATATTTTAATAAATATAAATCATAATTATTTATAATTATTTATTAGTTATTATTTATTATATTTATTAAAATATAAATATTATTTTTAACTATTAAAATATAAAATATGATTTTAATAAAATGTTAAGTAATTTTATTTCTAATTAGTAATTAATTGTTTTATGAATTTTATATTTTAAAATTTGTAGTTTATGATATACCTTAAAATATATAGTTTTATGATTGAATTATTAAACTATAACTTTAGTTTAAAGTTTAAAATTTAAAATTTTAAAATATTTATATTTTTTATAATATTTTTTATTAAACTAACAATTAACCTATTAATCTAATAGTTGAACTATTAATCCAATGATAAAAAATTTTGAACAATTTAATGTCTGGTCTGGTTTTAATAACTATGGTTACAACAAACTGACCTCAGTATAACATATTAAAAATTAAAAATTTTAATATGATATGTTTTAAAAAATATACATAATAATTTTTTAATGTTATTTGTGAAGTTTAAAATTTTCATCAGTAATACATAAAAATAAAATCAACTATAAATGAGATATTTATCACATGAAAAATAGAAACAGAATAAGAAATTTATTATAATATCTATTTATTAAAATTAATTATTGCACACCAAATTATTAATGGCGAGTAAAAAAAAGTCTCAAGTACGATCTGAAATTTTCAGGAAAAGCCTCTCCAAAGAAACTCAATTTGTGGATTAGCTTTCTTATTCACTATAACTTGATTGACGTCCTTGGCCTGTTTGAGGGGACCTAGTGCTTACCTAAATCACTGATTGGCACTAAGGCTTTACCAACCATGACTCCCCAAGCAGTATTATAAAAAATATTGGCAAGTAACAATGTTCATGTGGAATATGCTTAGGATAAACAAATTTCAGATCCTTGTTTGAGGAAAACAAAAATGAATTAGGATTTAAAAAAAAAAACTTTTTGTTTTGTGCAAAGAAAGGAACGTTGTCTTTGTGATCATCCATGGTACATTTTTGGTTCATTATTGGTTAATTATTCTTTTTTTTTTCTAACCTTTAAAGTTAAGTTAACAAGTACTTAGTAAAATTAATTATATATACTATTAATGTTACAATTCAATAATTTTGAAGTCAAAATGATTTGACAAAATCATTTTGGAGTAACTTAGTAAAATTAATTATATATACTATTAATGTTACAATTCGTCAAAATGATTTGACAAAATCTTTTTTGGAGTAACAACTCTTAAGTGGTTATCATAAGATTAAAATAATGAATTAAAAAAATTTAATTTTAATAACTCAAGTTGTTCCGATATTACTTACGTTTTCTTTAGGTCACATGAGTCTATCCATCCAAAAAGATTCCTATTCCAAGCCATAAAACTTGAACATAATTTTCAAACATAAAACGAATTAATTTCTATTCCGTGCAATTATATAAGATTGGATAAAATGCTTTTACATTTTACAGAGACAAAATGATTTAGCAAACCCAACATTCCTCAGCCGTCAGATTAGCAACCACTGGGTTCTTTCCACGTGTCACAAAGAATGCTTCTATCCTTCTACTTTCAATTTTCTAATATTAATGTTAAAGAAATAATTCGATCTTTCGAGAGAGAGCCGAAAAAAGGAAACAAAATATGGGCTAAACGCCGAACATTACGTGGCTCCTATCCAACATGAACACGTGGCAATTATTCATCCACCTTACACTGTCCCTCTTCGCTGTCCAAACGGGGTTGACCGATAGCTCGGCTAAACCTATGTCCCATAAACGCCATCAATAATCATTTCACAGCCTGTCCACCAATCACCTTTTAAAATAATACTCCATTCCCTACATTTTTCAACCGGTAACGGATTAATCCCAGTCACTATCGACCACCCCTTTCAAATATAAGTAAGACCTAAAGCTAACAAGTGTAGACCAGGCCAGACCACTGCTCACTCAAACATTACTCTTATATTCTTTAGTCTCCACTCCGACCGCTTGATTTTGGTCAGACGGTAATCATGCCGATCAGAAACATAGCCGTTGGCCGGCCTGAAGAGGCTACTCACCCAGATGTTCTTAAGGCAGCTTTGGCTGAGTTCATATCAACCCTAATCTTCGTTTTCGCTGGATCAGGCTCAGGCATGGCTTTTAACAAGCTGACCGACAATGGATCAACCACCCCAGCCGGACTCGTAGCGGCCTCTCTAGCTCACGGCTTCGGGCTTTTCGTTGCTGTCTCGGTAGGCGCCAACATCTCCGGTGGCCACGTAAACCCTGCTGTCACCTTCGGTGCTTTCGTTGGCGGGAACATCACTCTTTTACGTGGCATCCTTTACTGGATCGCCCAACTCCTTGGCTCAACCGTGGCTTGTCTGTTACTGAAGTTCGCTACCGGTAACCTGGTAACTTTACCATTTCCCACCCACGTTCCGTTAGAAAATCAGACAGTTATTTCCGTTTTTTTTAAGTGTTTTATTTTTATTTATTTGTTCTGGTTTTGTTATGGTATTTCGCAGTCCGTACCAGCTTTTGGACTGTCATCTGGTGTTGGAGTGTGGAACGCGTTCGTTTTCGAGATCGTGATGACTTTTGGGTTGGTGTACACAGTCTACGCCACAGCCGTTGATCCTAAAAAAGGAAGTTTGGGAACGATCGCACCGTTGGCAATTGGTTTGATTGTGGGGGCCAATATTTTGGCAGGTGGGGCCTTCGATGGAGCCTCAATGAACCCAGCCGTTTCATTTGGACCTGCCTTGGTCAGCTGGACCTGGAAAAACCACTGGGTATACTGGGCTGGACCTCTTATTGGTGGTGGGCTGGCTGGGCTCATCTACGAGTTCTTCTTCATTAGCCACACCCACGAGCAGCTCCCCACTACCGAATATTAAGCGGGTTTAATTGATTGTCACTGCGGATTTTCTCCGATGTATTTAATTTGTTGAGTTTTCTTTTTCCTTGTATTCTGTGTTTAATTTGTTGCCGCTGATCTTGTTTACTTTTCATTCGCATCCTCTATTATGATCATCATGCATGGCTGATGTTGTTTGCAATTGCATGCCCTGGAAAATGGTATTTGAGTGACTATTTATTTATGAAAAACCAGGCCCGTAAATGTGAAATTGTGTTAGATCTTCTCTGTTTCTATGATTTCATTTCCTATTTCTTTTTTCCTTTTCTTTTCACTTTAATTATTTTTATTATTATGACCGCGACAAATTAGATATCTCTTTCAATTCCCTACCACAAATAAAAGAAAATAAAATATATCAGTATTAGCTTTTCTTTTTTCGAGTTTCTGTTCACATGAAAATTTAATTTTTAATTAGTTTATGTACGAACGTTTTTTTTTAAATGATATTTAACAAATTTGATATTCTAGTTTTAATAATTATAATTTTTTTATTATCATATTACATTCCTTGATTGGTTAAAAAAAAATTAAAATCAGCCAACTAAATGTTCATTAATCGACTTTGATCAATTCTGAATAATTTTTTTTTTAATTCAAAATTTTCAATTTTGAAATAGATTTAATCTCACTGAATTAACCGTTTAAGAGTAAATAGTTTCGGGGTAAAACAATGTATCTTTAGTGTTTAGTATTTTTCTTTCATGCTAAAATAAACATTTTAGTAAGATGTAACTTGATGAAATGTTATTGAAGTCGGTAGAAGCTGTAGGAACATACATGTTCTTGAAGTCGGTGGAAGAAGCTATAGGAACATTAAGAATACTATACTGACTCCCATGTCGTGTTCTGTTTAATTGTCTTGAGTCGATTAATATGTGATCTTATCAGAGATAAATCATTTGACCAAATAATGGTTTCAATAAAGAACAGCAGTTTTTCACTTTGTTGAGGACCTACCAAGCCTAGCATCTTAATTAATTAGTGGCATATTCTCTTCTTAAAAATTAAAACAAAAGATGATATTTGATTAAGTACTTGAAAGATTATCAGCAAAGATTTTTCGATCCCACTTCCAAACACATTTTCTTTATCTACATGTGAGCATAACCATTGCTCAGAACGACTGCTAAGTCGGCTATTCAATGCTGAACATTGACATAGAGATTCGTTCACCTCTCAACAATGAGGGCAACAGGGCACGTGAAGCTTCAGGACCAGCATGCACCGACCATGGCCAATTACTTGTACAAGAGGACCCTGTTTTTTTTATCCTGTTCTTGCCATTTTTATGCTGCTTGTCAGGTCTATTCGTTTTCAAACTGGAAAAGTTGAAGAGTGTAATTACTAATTCAACCTTTTATCACGCCTCCACACTTATTCTGCCTTGACTAGCAGTATTTACTTTTGCCTTGCCATGTGCTTGGCTGGAGATCAAGATTGCCGTTATGTCCTGCCTTAGCCAATTGTAGTAAAGAAAATTGCCAGTTTGTCACGTACCAATACTAAGCTTTAATAAAATTGAAAGTTACCGCAATGCTCCTGATTTTAGTACCTAATTCTTTCCCTAAGCCCCAAAACTTTAAATGTGTTCAGCATTTAAAAGTTGAAACTTTACATTGCAAATTTGAAAAGTTGGAAAAATAATGGAAAAGTTGTAAACTTTTGGGTACTTTTGACACCTTGGTATATATGGGGAGTAGGAGAGTATGATACCCTTTTGATCCTTTCATGATTGCAAGCAAATTGGAATGTGGGACGTGGTTTAAAACTGACCGCAAAATTGGAGGGGTCACTGTTCTTAAAGGATCGCAAAAGTGGATTCTGGGGGCCTGCTGACATGATTCGGCTCTTCCAAATAAATGTCTTTTATTACACAATGTTGTTGTAGTAATTTCAATAAAGGATGAGACAGCTTATTCAAATTATTCCCAAAATTTTAAATACTTAAATATGTATTGAATAATGGCCAAAAAATGTATAATATATATTGTACCGAAAGATATAGGAAGAGGACAGCTGTATTTGATGGTGACTCCCTCTCTGTTTCACATGGAGTGATGACTCAATGACTGTGATTTGTGAAGGATGAATGGTGAGCACAGGGAGAGACTTGGGGCCAATGAGCTTGGGGAAAATGGTTCATGGTTGGCATGGTTGGCATAGTTGGGTAATAAAGTCTAGTCTACTCATCTTTTGTTTAGACTTTTTTTTTTCTATTATTTCGATTAAATTTCTTTTTGGTAGAAATAATGTTAGATTATATATAAAAAAAACTCTTTCCTTTCATAAATTTCACTCTGAACCAAAGTTTGAAACTTACTAAACTAATCTGGAATTTCAAACATTTTTATTTGTTCTCCTTCAAGGAAGATAGTTTTTAAAGAATAGATTATCTAAAGTACAAACATGATCCAGGTCATATGCTTAGAGATAATATAGTTTACTCGAGCACGATTTATGATTAACGCTATTCTAATGTAATATGAACTTTGAAGAAATCATAGGAAGTGCAAACTTTATCACAAACATAATAAACTATATGTTTCACGAGCCACGTTGGGATTAAAATAATTAGCAAATAGTGTAAATGAGGCCCGTTCTGATATTGAAATAACTTTCTAAGATCATTATTATCATTATTAATTCAAATGATTGGTCTCTATAATATTCAAAAAAATTAATCATCAATTATCTCCTTAACTCTTTGTTTATTATGTCAATGAGACTTTATCTCAATGATGAAGAAGAGATCCTGAAGGCTTTAAAATTTTAAATTTAAGTTTGATTAGGTCATGTGTGAGTTTCCTTTTATTATATATTAATTTGGTGGTCAATTTTTTTTATGTATATTAAAAAAAATTTATTATTATAATTGTTATTGGTACATATAATTTCATAAGAAAATCTAAGAACTCTTTGCTTAGTCCTGTGGGGATGCAGGTTTTTTATTAATTTTTTATGTAAATTAAAATTATTTTATTATTATAATAATTTTTATTTATATGTATAATTTCATCAAAAAAAAAAAAAACTCTAAAAACTCTCTGCTTATTGTCATGGGGATGAAAAATTTTGAGTAGAGAAGTTGTAAATTATTTTTTGTTGGAAATATCATATGAAAGGAAAAACCAAATTAAAATTGCATGATCTCTGACACCAACCATGTTTATATAAGCCTGGCATTGTCCTTGGGCTGAAACAGTTTAGAACCGAATGCTATATTCTTTAGGTGCCAGTGACATTGGGTTTAAAACTCAATAGGAATAGAACTACAAGCCCAATAGACATTTGGGCCACATTTGCTCTTATGGATCTTATTTTTGTGGATAAATATAATAGAGCTTATTTCGATATCTATGCACCTTCCAAATGGATATATGAGATGAGCCCAAACCTTCCAGCCTGGTGAATGATTTGGTATTGGAATCGAATGTGATTCGATTTTTTTAAATAATATAATTTTAAATTTAAAATTTTATCTGAATTTAAATTGAATTTTTATAGAATCTCATCTAAATTAAATTTTACTGATTTGATTTGATTTATTGATTTTTAAAATTTAAAATTTTTATATATTATTTTAATATAATTTTTAATATATTTAAATAAATTTAGATATAAAATAACTAATCTTATTTTATAAATTTTAAAATATATACAAATTAATAAAAATATATAATTTGGTTCTATTTGATTTTTGTCGATTTTTCACTTTTCGATTTAAAATTTAATCCAAATCTAATATGTACATTTAATTAGTTTGCTACCTGTACAATGTATAAATTATCTTTATTTTATTTAAATATGTGTAAAAATATAAATTAATACTTTTAATTACTTTCATATTTAAAATATATATAATACATATATTATAATTAAGACATCAAATCATAATAGATTAATTATAAATATCTTTTGAATTTAAAAAATATATATAATAAGTGATATTTGTGTTTTGAATTAAAAAAAAAAAGACTAAAGAATTATAAAGAAAGTTACTAAAATAAGATATCCATTTGAAAATTTTTAATTTTAAAAGAGATATCATTTGATGAAATTTTAATAAAATAAGATTAATATTTTTAAATTATATATTTTTATTACAACTTATTGAGATTTTTTTTAAGAAAAAAATCATAGAGAATTAATCATAAAGAATTTGGATAAGATTTTGCTTTTGAAAATTTTGATATTTGAATTTAAATTATATATAATAGGTATTTTTCACGTGTCAAAAAAAGAAAATGTTCATTTAAGTGTCAACGTAACAAATTTTCTCACGTATCTTTTTATGTTGTAATATAATATATACTAACTTACTACTACTTGTACGATGTATAGATTATATTTTATTTATTTAAATATGTATAAAATTTTAAATTAATACTATTTAATCACTTGTATATTTAAAAAATATATAATACATATATTATAATTAAAACATCAAGTTATAATAAATTGATTATAAATATATTTTGAATTTAAAAATATATATAATAAGTGATATTTGTGTTTTTGAATTAAAAAAAAAAGACTAAAGGATTATAAGAAAGTTACCAAATAAAAATATCCATTTGAAAATTTCAAATTTAAAAAAATATTTCTAAGTGAAATTTTAATCAAATAAGATTAATTTATTTAAAATTTATATTTTATTACAATTTATTGAGATTTTTTATTTTAAAAAATAGCTAATTAATCATAGATAATTTGGGTAATATTTTATTTTTTAAAATTTTGATATTTGAATTTAAATTATATATGATAAATATTGTCCATGCATAAAAAAAATAAATTGTTCATTTAAGAGTCCACTGATAAAATTTATCAAATATTCTTATATGTTAGTAATAATATATATATGTATGTATATATTATCTAAACTTAATCTAAAATGAATAAAAATAAATCAATTAAAATTAAATATTATAATTTTAAATTAATTTTCGATTATTTCAATTTTTCTCACCCGGTCTTGGATTTGTCGGTGTTGGATTCATGAACTACAACATAGAGTCGAAATGCAAGTTGGATTGGAGTTTTAAGAATTTAAGAGGGACAAGCCAACAATGTCATCCCCGGAAGATGTCCCACGTCTAATTTGGCAACTTCTATTCATCCCCAAAATTTCATTTTGACCAATGACAGTTACATTCCAGCTAAACGCAACAAAAACATTCTGTTAACTGTAGCTTTCCTTTTCATTTTTTTTTTTCTTTCTCTTTCTGATACTTACATCTTCCCTGTCGTTCAAACTTAAAGCGTTAGGATATTTTTTAAAATCCCGAATCAACCAAACCTCTGCTTTTATCTCTTTGATCTTTGTAGGAAACACGAAAAAAAAAAAGGAGGAAATCACTATCAATATCAGTCACGTGGTAAAACCGGCCTACCAACTGTCGAAGAAAAGTCCAGGGCTGCAGTCTCGTCAAAAAACAAAAAAACTACAATTTCTACTGTAGTTCTTTGGGCCACAATGAAACCATCGTCAGGAGAAAGTTTAAGATTACGAACCACAGAACTTATCCTATGCATGGCTAGATCTTAGATTCTGTCTCTATTCCCGCAATACCCTTACGTTGCCACAGCTAATCCTATTACCCTTTTTGGTAAATTCACTGTTTCTTCAACCTCAGGTATTTACAACTATGAACTACGCTTTATAACAGGAATCCAACCTAAACAAGAAACCCTGTTTTCCTTTTCTTCTAATCTCTAAAGCAGGTACGTTGGCTTTTCATTTATTTATTTAATTTTGTCTTTCTTTTCTTCTTCAACTTTCTCGCTCTGTCTCGTTTTTCAAAGTGAAAAAATTGGGTCGGCCGGCCATGACGCTGGCGTGTCGCCTCGTAATGGGGAAGTCAGGGGTGGGAGGTTAGTTTTGGAAAAATAAAAATCTAAATCAGGGGTCAATTTAGAATTTTATAAAACTTGGGGACTCCTTATTATATATATTTTTGTCTTTCTCTTCCTGATCCGTGCTCAGGTCGCTCAGCTCTCCATGATTGTTTCAACTCATCGAAACAAAACCACATTTACCCGTTTCACTTCGGGTCTGTTATTATTATTATTTTTTAATCTTAGATGTTTTAGGACTATAATTTCGTTTTGGTTTCAAATTGAATTCATTCTTTTGTTTAAATTTTGGTTCCAGGTAAATTTGGAGTATAAATTGGAAAAAAAGAAAAACAGGTTGGGGATTAATGGAGAGCGGTTTTGAGCCCAATATGTCAAACTCTTCATCTATGATGGAGAAGGGATATGGGGAATTCGGGTATTTTTTCTTTCTCTAAAAAATGTTATTTTCCACCATTTTTTGCATTAATTTTGTTCTTTTTTTTTTGTGATTTTGAAGGTGTTCGCATTATAGAAGAAGATGCAAGATCAGGGCACCTTGTTGCGATGAGATATTCGACTGCAGGCATTGCCATAACGAATCCAAGGTCCTTTCTTTGCTTCTTAATTCTCTTCGAGTTTTTTTTTTTTTGGATAGCTTCTATTAATTTAATTATTACAAAAATAATTTAACTTTGGAAAAAAATGGTTTTTCTTTTCATAGAACTCAATCGAAGTTGATCCTTTAGATCGTCACGAGGTTCCTCGCCATGATATAAAAAGGGTCAGTTTTTTTTTTTTTATTTTTTATCTTTCCATGTTTTGTTGTTATAATTTTCGACCTTTTTTTTCTTTTTCATTGTTTGAAGTGATTCTTAGCTGATATTATTATATTCAATAAATGAAATGTTTTCTTCAGGTTATTTGTTCCTTGTGTGACACAGAACAAGATGTAAGTCTCCGAAAATATTTTAAATAGCAGTGATTTAAAGACTGAGTAGAATGGAAATAACAGTAAAAATACTAACTTGGTCTGATTTTTCTTGATATAAATTAGGTTCAACAGCATTGCATTAACTGTGGGGTTTGCATGGGAAAGTATTTTTGTTCCAAATGTAATTTTTTTGATGATGAAGTAAGTCGGAAATTGAATTTTATGATTGAAGAAGTGCAATTCATAAATATGCTTGCATATGATGGAATATGATGGAAAAACTTGTTTCTTGAATTGGTAGGTCTCGAAAAATCAGTACCATTGTGATGAATGTGGTATTTGCAGGTTAGATTTTTGGTAAAATCTATTCTTTTTGTGTGTCTACTTGTATATGATATCCAAGTATTAACTTGGTCTGATATTGTAGAATTGGTGGAGAGGAGAATTTTTTCCATTGTAATAAATGTGGTAAGATTACCAACTTATTTTGTGCTTTTTATCTGAGAGACAGACACTTTAATTTTCTCCTTCTTCAATCGATAATTTTTGGATTATATCTATTGTAGGCTGTTGCTATTCTAAGATATTGAAGAACTCCCACAATTGTGTTGAAAGAGCTATGCATCATAATTGCGCTGTTTGCTTTGAGGTGAGTTTAAAAGATTGAAGGTTTGAGTAGAATGATATAAAAGTCATGCTTTTTGAGCTGCTAATTTGTTGTTTTGTCGTTTTAGTTTCTCTTTGATACAACAAAAGACATAACTGTCTTACTATGTGGCCACACTATACATTTGGAATGTGTAAAAGAGATGGAACGGCATTTTCAGTAAGTCCTTTTGAGAACACTAGTGCAACCTCTTGGTTATACTGATTTTGTTCTCAAAAGCATTTCCTTATTCACTTCATATGTCATTCTTGGGCTGCTGGGTTTGGTGTTAATAATGTTGTTGCAGGTATTCATGTCCTGTTTGCTCAAAATCGTATTGTGATATGTCCCGAGTGTGGGAAAGACTTGACCGAGAGGTATGTGTGGAATAGATCAACTGATTTTTGTATTTAGCAACAATGTGCTTGTAACTTGTCTCATTTAGTTCATTGCCAAAATGTTCTTATGAGCAATTTGATGTGCATGTAATTGTTTTAATTTAGTCTGTAACCAAAATGTTCTTAAACAAATTTCAGGTTGCTTTGACAGCGATGCCTCAAATTTATCAGAACAAGATGGTCAGTGGAATAGTTAATTTTCATATTTTAGCAGCTATCAATGCTTAGTTTCTATTAGCTATTTATGATTGAGTCAATATTTTGATCGACCAGGTTTGGATTCTCTGTAATGACTGTGGGGAAAATTCTGAGGTTAATTTCCATATCCTGGCACACAAGTGCCTAAAATGCAGCTCGTACAATACTAGGCAGACACGTGGGGGTGTTGCTTCATGCTCATCAGATATTGCGGAAAAAGTTAGATGATGGGTTCATCTGACGTTTAATTCATGGTATTCAGTTTCCTCTTTAAGGTCCACTGTTAACTGTTGTGGAATGGGAAATTTTCACTTGGTTAGCAGAGGGTAGCCAGAATAATAGATTTCTTTGTTCTTTGCATACTCGTGTATCTGTTTGCTAGTCTGCTGTGAAAAATATCTGCTCGATCTGGAGTAGCTGATTCTATCAGAAGAACAAGGGAAATTGGAAGAATTCATAATATGCTATGTATTCGGTTCGTAGCTGGCAATAAATAAATTTCAAATTTTCGAAGATATCAAATTTGAAATTTTTATTTATCCTTAATTTGCATATGGGAAAAGACTTTAGCTTGAATTAACTTTATTTTTGCTTGTAATCTAACCATGGCCTCTACAGCCATGGCTCACTAATTTACCTTTTATATCAGAAAAGGATGAGGAGCAGGTCGGTTGGTATTAGACCATAACTGATAATGAAATTAGTAGTGTGATGTGCCAACTGCCAATTGACTAAATAATTTATGATTCTGATCTCTAAAATAGGGATGAGATGAAAGTTTATTTTGTGGTATAAATGAGAAGGCGTATTCTGATACGTCATCTATGCAATTATTCAAGTTTTCTGTAACAATCAAATTGTATGGTCACCTGGAAATGAGGCTATGGTGCCTGCTGATTCCTACTTGATTCGAGAATTGAGGCAAAATGGTTTATTAGCTAAATAAATTGCTGGAGAAAGAAGGATGAGGCCTTCAAGTTTTGATGAATTTAGTTATCATGTAATCGATTGATGGGAAAATACTGCTAGAGATTCGATTAATTTTATGTACTGTTAAGTTCGAACGCTTCCACGATCATCTTCAAATTTCTGGTTCGCATGAGATTATCTGTAGCCTCACAATTTCTAATCATTTCAATCTAAAAGACTGAAAAATGCAGCAAAATATAGTAAACTAGTAACAACAAACGACACGTAACCTCAGAATAGTGTAGAAATACAGTGAGAAAGTATCCATTTCAGGGAGGGGAAAAAATTTGTGGAAAGAATAAGGTCGAGGTAAAAAATCTGTGTGGGAATACAAGCTGTAGATTTATCTGTTGGGGCCATAAAGTTCTATCTGACGACGATTGAGTGGTTGCACAGGTCTTGCATTTGCTTCAGCATACTGAAAAATCATTTGATCACAAAAGGTTAGATTTGCTTGGAGTTTCCCATTTCAAGAATGTTCATGGTTTAGCTAAATTGATGATCAAGTATCTACTTACATCATGGACAGCTTTTCGGAGTGCCCGGACTTGGTCCCTTGAAACAGTTTTTATCTGGATACATAGTTCAAATATGCGTCAGGATCTCATTTCTAGAGAAGAAATTAAAAGAAGAAAAATGATTGTTAAGGGATGATTGGATTTACCTTCTTGTTCATTGTCCAAATGACACCTTCAGTGCAAGGAGGGACTGTCAATGAGCCCATGTATCTGTAATACTTCTTGCCACCCATCTTGATCAGGCTTGGATCAATGAACCCCATTTCCCTTTCTTGCACATGATCATTCATGGATGTAATGTTGCTTATCAGCTGAAATTTATAAGCAAATTATGATAATATGTCAGAGAAACATTGCTAGTGGCACAATTTGATTGGAATTTGGAGGCCATAATCTGATATTCTCTAATCATTTTGGAAATTACCTTGGAGAGGAAAGCATCAGGTGCACCAAACTTGTAGAGTAGTCCAATGACAGCTAGATTGTTCTTCACTTTGGGGTCCTGGCACTGGTGTACCATATGTAGCTCCAGGGCATACCTAATTATTGTCCAAGATGAAAAAAAAAAAAAAAAAGAAATAAAAACCTTGTAAGTTTGGTTGAAGTTGAATCGAACCATTTTATTCCACCAGACTTTCGTGTTTGAATGAGAGAGATGAAATAACGAGAGTAGGGACCTTCTGCCATTAATGGTATGCTCAGAAGGTGAGTGCCAGTGAGCTTGTTGGAGAAAGTATTCAGTACCATTGATTTTGATTGAACCAGCATCTTGATTCAGCCATTGAAGCTGCATATTCAGAGGAAAAAACTGAATTATATTACATAGAGTTGATTTCCTGATTTAATTCATATATGTCATCCAAGATGGCTTGTTTGCTTCTATAAGTCATGGAAACAAATAATAGTAACAAGTTTCCAGGGCCTACCATTCTTTACTTTCATTTCATTTTCTTCTTTTAAACGGTATAAATCGCAAAGAAAGTAGTAGTAGTTGAAAACTTGAAGAGTGGATGATAAGCACATTTTCCTTCATTAAGAGGTGGGTGGGGCTGTTGAATAGAACCGTTCACACATATGACCATTAATTAGCTCAGTTTCTTGGAAGAAAAGAACAAAGCAAGGGTTTAACAAGCTTTTCCATGTGAAAGGGACAAAACATAGTTCGCTTCGCATGGCTGGCCATATTCTTTTGGAACGCGGTCATAGCAAAGTTGCTTTGCTGAACAATGAATCTGATTAGGAAAGTTGCCAGCATCTGCCTTGGCCATTTGCGTTCCAGTAATAGGTAAACTATGAAATTAATCCAAATCAACTCACCCGCAACAACAAAGAAAGAAAAAAAAGAAACTAAAATAAATAAATTTAAGTGGATGCCTTCTTGGAGGAAGATGATTGAAGTGGCTGATTCACTTACAGGATAATTGAAAAGAAAATCTTTGATGTGGCTTATTACTTTGATTAAAACCATTAATTATGCAAAACATTACTAATTACAAGATTGCAGCCAAGAATATATATGCATTGTCAAATTTCTTACCGAAATATCGTGGCCTCTGTTCTTGACAACTGCATGACAGGGCTTGTATCTCTTCTTCAGTTCCCCAGACTTTTTGATTACCGTCACTCTCAGACTTGACATATCTATTGGGGATTGCAGATCTCCATTTTTGCAAGCAGCCCATTCTTTCTTCAGATCTCCCCATTGACTTGGTCCTTTCCCACTGTTCTCTAAGTAATCAAACTCCCTCTCATCCTCTGCATCATATATATAAATTTCAGATTATTCTTTATCAATTGACAATGTATACAAACACAAAAACAATCAGTTTTGTTTTCTGTTTTTGACATTACCAATTTCTTGAGCTGAAACTGAAGCTGAGTAGTAGAGAAACACAACTGTAAAGAAGAGAAAAACTGAAACAAAGATGGTTTTCCTTTGATACTTCATGCTGATCTTTTGAGGCCAAACCAAAGAGTTGCAAAAGAAACAATGGCAAGAAAAAATGGGACAATGTTTATAATTATTCTGTGGAATATATGATATGATATGCAGTGTGGATTATAAGGAGTATTTATAATTATAGGAACGAGAGAAAGGCTTTCATAGAAAAAGAAGATGAATTTTCCTAGGAGTTTCTTGGATAATCAAAATCTTTAGCAATACGAGTGGTCGGCAAGTAAGCCCTTACTGGACACAAAAGGACAAGCATAGGGAACGCGGTTAACATTTTTGTCTAAAGAGAGCACCGTAAAACAAATACGTTTCTAACTCTTGCAATTAGAAACAACATTGACTGAAATTTTTTAATACGGGGCAGTTTGATTTTTATTTTAGGTAAAAGGCAAAAAAAATTGTAACTATAATTTTAATTATTCAAGTTTTTATTTATTTTTATTGTAATCAATTAATCCCTTTATATTTATTTGCATAAAATTAAACATTCATTTTGATAAAAGAAATTAATACTGTTAATTCTTTTATCAATTAAAAGAAAATTTTATATAATATCAATAAAATTTATTAAACTTTATCATAAATCACCCTCAATATATATGAATTTTTAAAAAAATTTTCTTTTTTCTTTTTTCGCTTTCCTTTTATTTTTTCTCCTCTCTTTTAAGATCCCTTTAAAAATTCATTTGATTTGATTAAATTTTATTATATGACTAGATTTAATCCATTTAAAAATTCAATTGAATTGAAATAAAAAATTAAAATATAATTAATTATAATAAAAAATTTAAATTTTAAATAATTATAGACCCTTTTAACTTTTATTTTACTTGACTTATTAATGTCTTCGTCATTTTTCATTAATTGGAGACACTAATTTATAGCAATTATAATAATGTATATATATTTTCCTAATTTTTTTTTTTTACAAAAGGGATTATCCTGTGTAATAATTCAAAAGAACTAATAAATATAGTCATTAATCATGTAATTTATTAGTAAAATATTGTATTCTTAATTTTATTGACCATATTCGATTTCCAATGACTTTAAATATAATATATATATATATATATAGAGGTTGTTAAATATTTTTTTTGTTAAAATAAATATTAGAATATTATAATAGCTCATCGCTCAACCCTAGTTATTTTGTAAACCACACCCAACATATGTTTACCAAGCATTTGGTTTAATTATGACGACTCATGATGAATGAAGCACAAAAGATATAAAATTTTCGTAAAGCAAGATTTCCAATGCCAGGAAAGTTGATTGCCCCGACATAATTCACACGGTTTTGGTTGTTGGAACATTGCGTTTCGGTGCTAGCTTAGCTACAAGGAATATCAAAGCAAAGAGCCACCAGCCATGATAAAATATCCGAACATATGATTCCACACTCGAGGAAAACAGAACATAAAATATATCTACCCCTCGTCCCATCACCTGTCCGTCTTCACAGATATATATATATATATATATTTATGATTAGAGATTTACTTATATTAATTTAATTTTTATATTATTTAAATTATTAAATTTTAAAATATTATTTTAATTTAAATGAATTATGAATTGAATTTTAATTTAAAGATAAAAATTTAAAATTTAAACTAATATAAATGTATCACTCATTTATATATTTGTAAATAATAATAAATTTGTCAAAAAAAGTTGAGGTGTTCGAAAAAGAAAAAAGCCCAAATGAAATTTTGGGCCAAAAATCGTTTGGTTGGGCTTTCCTAACGTAATGATAAAAAATTCACCATCTTGTCAAATTATACCCAAAATTTGTGAAGATTTCTCATTACCTATGAAATAAAATTTAACAATCAATGGATTATGACGCTATGCCCATAGGCCATATCAAATTGTATTTATATGCAAAAGGAAGATCATTTCATATAGATATGATTATTTATTTATTTATATAATATTTTATATAATAATTTCTATTAATATGAAAAATATAAAATATATTTTTTAAATTTTTTATTCATTTATATTTAATTTTTATTAAAATTTTAAATAATATCCATTTTCATGTTTTTTTTTTGTTATCATTTTAATATTTTATTTTAAATTATAAATCTATTTTCATACGTCACAGCTGAAAATTTTCACCAATAAAATTAAAGGGTCATACGTTTTTTTTTTTTAAAATTGTTAAAAAATACACACGATAACTTTTAACGTGTATGTGGTACGTAAGAACGAACTCTAAGTAATAAATTAAAATTTTTATATTTTTTTAGTTGTAACATATTGGCTCGTAGCCTCGAAACAATAACCAAGTTGACAATGCGACTGCTATCTTTTCTCCCTATTCAGGGCCGAAACTTGAGCTGACAGGGACCCGGATTCCCCTTCGTTTCTTAAAATCATCTTATCAAAGTACATCTTCACCCAAAAATGGTAAAATCATATTTTGGCCCTCCCAAAATTAATAATGTTGGCTCTCCTTTTAAAACTAGATTTAAGTTCGCACGATATGGGGTGATATTTTAATTTATAATAATTTTTTAAATATATAACAAAATTAAAAATTTAAGAAAAATTAAATATATAAAAATAATTGCATAATATATATAAACCATTATCCTCTAAAAGAACAAAACAAAAGTAAAAGATTTAGAAACATTAAAAATATTAATATGATGATTTTGGAAAAAAATATTTTAATCAAATAGTTAGTTTTTATATGTATACAACATTTTCTTTTCAATTAACTAAACAAGCTTGTTGACATTAATTATTATGTCAAACTTTTTTTTTTTTTTTTACATAGAAAGAAAAATACAGTTAAAAGAATATTCAACTACTTACATATGTTGTGCACATAAGTTGAAAATTTTATTTGTACACTATACATTTTTATTTTTTTTTACTTTTTACTGAGTTTTTCATTTTAAAACTCAACTATTTAATGCGTTACTGTTATTCTTTATTTAAAAAAAATTAGTTAGATTTTCATTATTCTTTAAATATTGAACATATTCATTTTAATCATGAAAAGAAATTGATATTTTTTATTTAATTACATTATTATTTCATTTAACATTGATACTCTTTTTTAGATTTTCATTATTATATAAATATTAAACAAAATTCTTTTAATCGTGAAATGAAATTCATATTTTTTTATTTAATTACATTATTATTTGATTTAATATTTATAATTTTTTTAAAAAAAATTTTATTAATTCATCTTACTTTTATACTAACCCCTCCAAACTAAAAATCCTAGCTTCGCTTCTTACCTATATATAGTATTTTTTTTTTTAGTTAAAATTTTTTTTCTCTTCTAAAATGGCATCAAAGGCTCTCTTTTTCGTTGCTATCTAAAATCTTGATTAAAGAGATTAGTCTATTTCTATTTTCAATTTTACACAAATAAATCCTTTTATGACCAAAAGCCAAAGAATAAACAAGAGCATTTTACCTTTAGGCTTTAGCTACGAATTTTCGTATTTAAAAGCCACAAATTTGGCACTCCAAAAGTTGAAATATGATTTTTAATCTCTTACTATATATCCTTTACTATAAGGTCTTTTACTTTTGGTTTTTTCGAAAATACTTTAACTAATTAAACTTAGGATCTCCTAAAAGTGTTGTGACAATCAAAATGGGCCATGAAAATAAGAAATTATTATGCCTATCCATTTTATTTTAGGGTAGGGTCTCCCAATGGATATATGATGCTAGCTACTCACTTTGTCACACACTCCACCTTCATCGTTAACGATCCATTTCACCGAGGACTGCTAAAAAGTTTATCTTTCGCATGACGTCAAAAATTTAAATCTATCAACCTTCATATAATTTGTTAATTATTATATGATTTATTAGTAAAATATTAACATTTTAATTTTAATAATAAAAATTTAATTCTAATAAAAATATAAAAAAAATCAATCCATTTAGGTGTAACTAAATCTATTTAAGACTCAAACTATTTGCTTAGGTCTGAAAATTAGCTTGAGATTTGAGAGAGTTTAAATTTAAATAATTTTAAGTTCGTTAAATATGCTTGAATTTAAATTTTAGGCTTGTTTAAAAAATAATCAATCTTTGGGCTTGATTTGATCCAAAAAACTTTTATATATTTATATATTTATAATTATATTAAATAAAAATAAATATGTAATTAAATAATATATGTATGTTCACGTTAATATCATATGTTTATATGTATCAATTTTATCCAAACATCAAATTAAATTAATAAATTTTTTTTTTACTTTTTATTTTAATAATTATTTATTTTTCATAATTAATATTTATTAATATTATTATTTTTTAATTAAAAATATAGGTGGATTTAAACGGACGTGGACAAATTCTTTTTAAAAAGAGCTGGACTTAGAATAATAAAATTAATCTCATATTTCGAGTCAAATCAAACTTAGACAAATCTAAAATTTGTTAATGCTACATTTAAGTTCAATCTTAATTTGATCCGGCCTGACTCATGTACAGGTCTTGCTCAACCAATCGAAATAATTGCATCAATTAATGCCATCGTGATTCCATATAGTCCTCTCTTTATAAAAATGTAAAAGATCATTGGAGATTTAAAATTCAAGCTTATAATGATTGGTAATTTCAAAGGTAAAAGAATGAGAAAAGAAGGGTTCCATTTTATAATAGATTTGATGGCTGAAAATAAAATGCCAAAAAAAAAAAAGAATTATATCGTTTACAATTTAATCAATCAAAATTATAATTATGTTGGATCATTAAAAAATTTTATAAAATCTAAATTTTTAAGTGATGGGTCCTTAAATAATTATTTATTGTTATTGGTTAATCATAAAATTGTAGTATAGATAATTATAATACTATCCCAAGTTGAAACCAATTTATCCAAGTTATACATTTAATTCTAAAGTTAAAGAAATTTTAATACTGAAATCATGTGATAACTTATAAATATATTTAAATTATAAAAAATCAAAACTAAAAACATTTGCAATTACTAACAAAAAAAAAATGTATAAAAGTATTTGAGTCAATTGATTCATGTATCATCCAATGCTCAAAAAATAGGATTTAAATTCTTTTTTTCCAAATAAAAAATTTTTAAAAATTAAAAATAGTTATAAACACCTGTTAATAGAACCCTTACAAA